TCAGCCTTCCCAGCGCTGGGATTACAGGTGTGCACCGTCACACCCAGTTTTGGGCCAGCATGGCGCTCCCAGGGTTCCAGGGCTGGCGTTGGGTACGGGCATTGAACCCAGATCTTTGTGCTTGCCAGGCAGGTGCTTAGATCACTGAGCTGTCTCCCCAGCCCTGCATTTTCTATATATAATAGAATGCTTTTTTTTCCTTGACAGTTTATGATTGGTGGTTGGAAGAATAATACTCATGAGAAATTTTGTAGCTTGTTTCTCTTATTGATGAGGATGTTAATGAATAGAATAGATTAGAGCTTATACTTGACTTAGTCTGCTGATTTTACCCTGGACTGTACTACTTGTTTGTTAAAATCCAAATATCAGGTATTATTCTAAACAATGCTAATATAAACTGGATCTGTGATACCTTGTTTTCTTAAAACTTTATTTCCTCACTTTGTAGTTTTAATTGATACTCTTGACATTGTCTTCAGTGAGGTCTGTAGTATTGCAGTACATAAACATCGGCTTACTTTACAACTACTGTGTTCTTATATCTTTTTGAGCTTGCTTTCAAATATGTTTGCCAAAAAAGTAATTAAATTAAGGATTTGATTAAGAGGTTAGGACAGTGCTTTAAAATACTTCAGTGGCACATTGTATCTGCCTGATATGGTGCCAACATTTTTATTTTTATAACTTGAAAGCTGGGTTTTGTTTGTTTTTTAAACCCCTTAGCCCTCTGCTGGAGGGAGAGTTTAGTAGAAAGAATTACTTTTAAAAATCCCATCCTGAGAAGAGAATGTTGGGCTGGAATGACTAATTGTTCCATTTTGCCTATATCAGGAAACTTCTAGTACTAGTAAAGTCCTGAGCAAAGTAGGATGATTTGGTGACTCTGATCCTTGTAGTTATTTATATTTATGAATGAGTCTTTAGAAGAGACTAAATAGCTGACAATTGATCTGTTGATAGTCTCTTCTTGGGTGAAAGATGACTTGTTAGACAATGGTGCTTATATATTACAGTAATGTTTGAATGTAAAAAGTAGGAAGAAGAGAAAGACTTGTATAAAAAAAAGACTTAAGATGTTTGGCTAAGTTCTAATCCTGTGCTTCTGTCTCTTTACAGAACTGATAGTGCATCAGCCGAAACAGATACTTTAAAATACTCTTCATCAAGAGATAGGGGTTCTTCTTCTTATGGACTGCAACCTTCAAATTCAGTTGTGGTGTCTCGGCAAAGGCATGATGATACCAGAGTCCATGCTGACATACAGAATGACGAAAAGGGTATTTATATATTTTTTTCCCTCAGTGCTTGAATTTTTTTTAATCTTACCTGTTTCCCTTTTCTTCTTCCTTCCCCCACCTCTTTCTTCTAAGATACTTAAAAGATAGGTAACAAATGAAGTTATTTCTGAAGACTTCATAAGTTTACCCACTTTGTCATTTTTTAACATATACAATATTTACATGTATATTTGCTGAAAATGTGTGATACTGTCCCTATTGCAGAAGGTTCTTCAGATTGCTGTCTCTCCTCTAGATTTTATATATTTGGTGCAGGGTCTCACTATACAGCTTGAACTTGTAACAGTCCTCCTCTTTTCAGCCTCCCAAGTGCTGAGATTACAGGTGTGTGCCACCACGCCTGCTCTTGGTGGCCAGCTCAGCATGCCCGGGGTGAGGCTGGCATCAGCTCGGCACATGATGCCTAGGATCAAAACCCGGTCCCTGTGCTTGTCTGCTACACTTTAAAAAATCTTATTTTTTAAACAAAGTACAAGATCTAACTTAATTTAGCTCTCATTTTTTTTATATTCCAGTGGAGGAACCAAAATTATTTCAAGGCAGATAACACAGAGGAAAAGTAGGACAAACTAAAGCTGTTTTTGTTGTGGATGGGTAGTAAAGTTTTGAACTGTGGGGAACTGATAGAGTGAAATAAAGAACCCTAACAAAATAATGTAAATGTTGCTGTTTTTAGGTGGCTACAGTGTCAATGGAGGATCTGGGGAAAATACTTATGGTCGGAAGTCGTTGGGGCAAGAGCTGAGGGTTAACAATGTGACCAGCCCTGAGTTCACCAGTGTTCAGCATGGCAGTCGTGCATTAGCCACCAAAGACATGAGGAAATCACAGGGTAAGGCTCAGAAAACTTGGGACCAACAACATGTACCTCCACAGAGTCTTCTAAGACCTGACCTGTATCTCCTTTTTTTTTTTTTTTTTTTTTTGGTTTCTCCTTTTATCCTGAATGCCTGACTTACTAATAATGCTTTGCACAAGTGTGAATAAATTATTTACGTTGAGCTACAAAATATGCCAGTAAAAGTTTACATTCTTTTTCTGTGAAATGTTTCCCACAAGAAAGTTTTAGAGGGCTGTATAAGTTGGGACTTTTTTGTTTGTTTGGCTGGTTGGTTTTTTTGAGCTACCAGGACCTGTGCCTGCCAGGCAGGCGCTTATGCTGCTGAGCCATCTCCCCAGCCCTATATAAGATCTTAAAAGCCTTCCTCATTTACTAGGAGACTTGAATGGGCAGTGTATACCGAAAGTCCTGTATACAGAGTAGGACTTTTTCTATAGTTAAATGTACCCATATCACTGTATACCTTACAATGCAAGTGCTACTCTGTGGGTAAAGTGCTTTGATAATTCAAGATTAATTTATTAGTAAAGCTTAGTGTGAAATTGAGATTTTTGATTTATATGCTTTGTTGAGTATGTAGTTTGTGATGCTCCTCCCCCACGTGTATTGTGTGTGGTGGTAAACATCTTTATACACATAGCTTTTTTTGCATATGACTTAAAAAACTGATTTCTTTTTTATAAGATTATAGAAGTATAACTAAATAAAAGCCTGTACTGTTCCTTATTAGTGATTATAGGTTTAGGTTTACTATATTTTAAAAGCTAGAAAGTGACTGTAAAGCTAATTCAGCCCAATTCTGCTTTCTTAGTGGCTCACAGTAATGCATTGACAGAACTAGGCGTACAACAAAGATTTCTAGGACTGGGCAGATAGCTCAATAGGGAATGAGATCAGTTCCCCAATTAGGCCAAAAAATAAAAATAACAGATTTCTTCGCTGATAGCCTAATGACATGTGGGGTGGCCATTTCTACCAAAATATTCCATGGGCCAGAGATTTATAAATCTTGTTTCTTCCTGGGCCTGCTACTTTTCCTGTGGTGGCATACTTTTCATGTACTGAATAACAGGTATTTGTAGAACTGAATATGTCACTAAAACTTTGTTCTAGAGAAATGAAAGTTGAGTAAGAAGTTCTCCTACAATGGGAGACTTAGGTGAAAAGTAGAAGCATATACTTTGTTTATATCTGATTGAGATATAATTCCTGAAAATTATGTATCTATACCCATTCTCTTTTAGTTGTTAAGATTTTGTTTTCTGATATGATCTTGCTGTTACCAGGGAGGTCTTGAACTTGTGGACTCCAGTGATCTTTGTAGGTAGCTGGGACTACAAGCATGCACTGTCTGACCTGACAGCCCATTCTCTTTACCTGGATATTGAAAAACATTGGAATAGACTTGCCAGAAATTTTCTAAACTTTGGTTTTTTTCTCTCTCAGTCCTTTGGAGAATTCTGTTTGCTTAGGATTTCATTCTTTTTTTTTTCAGGAATCTTTTAAGGGGGGCCTATCAGCGTAGGGCCAGGCACTGTTATGCCTTGGTATATAGAAATGAATAGAGAAATGACAGGAACTCTTGTTTATTTTCTCTTGAACTATGAATGTTAATACACTCAAAAATATTTGTACTATAATCTTTCTATGTTTATTTATACTCAAAGGCAACAAAATATTTATATTCACAGAGCGATCGATGTCTTATTCTGATGAGTCTCGACTGTCTAATCTTCTTCGGAGGATTACCCGGGAAGACGACAGAGACCGAAGACTGGCTACTGTAAAGCAGTTGAAAGAATTTATTCAGCAACCAGAAAATAAGCTGGTGAGTACAGTGTGTTTAGAATTGTTGAACGTAATAGACTAAAGTTAACTGCAGTGCCTTAAGGAGGGAAAAGTGGCTTCTAAGGTAAGATAAAAAATTATTCCACTCTTACTGGGCCTATATTACAGTGATATAGAATTCCTTGTATAACTTAGCTACCCATTGTCAGATCTACATTGGTACCTGATGCAGTAAAATGCTTCTGATCTTTTTCAGACAGGGTCTCACTAAGAGACTGGCCTTGAATTCACTGCGTAGCTTAGGTTAGCTTTAGACTTGCAGCGATCTTCCTGCCTCAGCCCCCAAATGTGAGGATTATAAGCATATGCCACCAAACCCAACTAAAGTGCTTTTAATTTGTAACAAATTTTATCTCATGGATAATCCTGCTGTCCTCAGAATTTTTCTTTTGCAGGACAGACTTTCTCTTTTTTAAAAATACATGAAATATAGAGTATGGGGCACATGTTTTGTTTTTGATCAAGTTTGGTCTGGTGGTCAGGACAGAAAATGAGTGAAAAACTTCTGTATTCAGTGCCGTTTTTCTAATGTTAAATTAAGAACTTGATGTTCTGGATAAATAAGAATAGTATAGTGAGGCCAATAACATTCTTTGCCAAATTTTATTATGAGGGGCCGGGGAGATGGCTCAGTGGAAAAAGCGCTCGCCTGGCAAGCACAAGGGCCTGGAGTTCAATCCCCGGTTCCACAAAAAAAAAAAAAAAAAAAAAAAAAATTATTATGAACAGTTTTAAGTATGCAGCAGGTTGAAAGAATTTTTTTTTTTTTTCCCAAGCCAAACTGTATCCAGCTTTATTAAAGATACTTTTCATAAACAATCATGGTATTTCAGGCAGGACATGGGCACACAATCTTTAACAGTATACGACAACTTTCAAACTCCCTTCTTGGATGGACTACCAAAAATCAGAAAGCCACTATAAAATCCAATGAAGTCTGCATTTGAGGCTCTGAAGTACGGAAAGTTTAGAGTGAGGGTTGACATTTCACATTTAGCATGTTGTTTAACAACTTTTCACAAGCCGACCCTGACTTTCGGGAAATGAAAATGGCAGAATTATCAATCTGAAGATCCACAGTCTAGAAAAAAGAAATCAATTGTTCTTGTGGGACACCACCTCAACATTACTGGCAAGTCCAGATTGCCTGACACACTGGTAACATCACTTTTGGGAATTAGATCCCAATAGGTCTCTGGGCTTAAGGGAGTTAAGCCTATGCTGATGGCAGAGGAAAGGAGGACATAAAATGAACTGGGAGCTGTCCCGTACCACAAGGCATTTATGCCAAAGTGGCCACATGTGTAACATCAGGGAATCCCTCCTCCTGGGAGCCAAGAGGAAGTCTCTCAAAACCAGCAGGGAAAGGCACCTTCCCCACATCAATCCAGCTTTGGAGACATTGTACTACTGACATATGCTCCTTCCCCCCAAAACAACAATGAAGTGTTCTGTGTGCTAACAACACAGCTTAAAAAAAAAAGTAAAACAAAATTCTGCATTTTTATAAAACTTGATAAAAAATAGTATTTCAAACTGTACAGTCACCAGAAGTACACAGTTATCAAAAATGCACACACTTCACTTGGCATCTCCAGCACCTTCAGCTTTTTGTGCCTGGTCTGTTTTGGCATCTCCATTTTCTGCAGGGTTATTTCCATCCTTGCTGGCATCAGCTTTTCCCTTTTTCCCTTTGGGTACCTTCTCTCCCTTCTTTGCTGGCGCCTTTTTAGGCTTGGGCTCTGGCTTTGGAGGAGCTGGTTTAGCAGACAACCTTGCAGATCTTCTCTGTGGTTCATCCTTCACCTTGGCTTTATCACCTTTAGCATCCCCTTCGGCCTTTCTCTTGGGCATGGTGGCGACGGCGGCAGGTCACAGGCGCTAGACACGAGATGCAGCGGCGTGCAGCTTTGGGCGGCCCGGGGGTCGTCCTCACTTCTTCTTCATACTGCTCTGAAAGAATTTTAAATCATTCCAGATGACCTCATATGTCTGTCATCTAAATTTTGTCATTGCTGCTTTACATATTGCTTTATTTCATCTCTCTTTATCTCTCTGTAAAATCATTTAAAAAGTTACTTCAAGTAAGATAAGTTTTGAGTTTATTGCCAAATATGATTACACCGCCATGTTTCCTGCGGATAAATTTCTTAGTCTAATGAAAACCTGACAGTTCTGATATATGCTGATTGGTGATTGGAAATAAATTAAGTTGCTGTTTAATTATAATTTAGAGGGGAAGAGAAAAATTATGTACAGTGTTATTCTTAAAAGATAAAAATTTAAAATTTTTATAAATGTTTGTTTCAAAGGTACTAGTTAAACAGTTGGATAATATCTTGGCTGCTGTACATGATGTGCTTAATGAAAGGTAAGTAATAATGGGTAGATTTTTAAAAATAATTTTATTTTATGTATTTATATAATTTGGGGGAGGTTACCTGGAATTGAACCCAGGACCTTGCGTGTGTCAGGCAGGTGCTGTGTCGCTGAACTATATCCCCGGCCTCCATAATAACTAAAAATTATACAACTAATGTCCATTTTCTTTGTTTATAAAACATTTGATATTTTACTAAGTCCTCATATCTCTATACTCTGTATTATGTACCTGTTACCGTTGAATGCAAATGGAAATGCTGGATAGGGAGTACTTTCTCTTTTTTTTTTTTTTTAGTGTGCTCACTTAAGTAATTGCATGTTGACTTGTTGAATGACATAAACTCAATGAAGGCACGAACAAATGCCATTAGTAAACAGTAATTTTCAAAACTGCTTAGAGAGTACTGATGAAAGGGAGTGTCTTTTGAGCAAAACTAAATTTAAATAATCTCTGGGGTTCTTAAAGATATACAGAGTGAAACCCAGAAGGTTATAAATCATGTATTTTATATAGTTACATATTATGCTTAAATTAATGCTGTTATACTTTTAAATTTATGTATGTATTGCCATTTTTTATTTTTTAATAATTAGGTTTTGAATACTATATGGACTGTAGTTACCAACGTTGTCTAAAGTCCCCCCACTACGCAGCTCAGACTCGTAGTGATCTTCCTGTTTTACAGCGTCCCCAGCACTTGAGGAGGGGTTAGAGGGTGGGGGTGGGACAGCATGTGGTGCGGGAATGGAACCCCAGTCCCTGTGCTTGCCTGAGCAGGCACCTAGTCTGCTGAGCTATCTCGCTGGGCCTTTTAGCCCTTTTTTATGAGTCATTTAGTTTGAAATGGAATTTGAAACCTCAGTTTTAGATTTTATAAACCTTTCCTTATTTGTTAATAATTGATTCTATAGAAGAAAATCTAACATTTAACAAATGTAGTTTTCAGCATTGTAGGATAGAGCATACAGTACTTAAGAGTGGGCAAAATTTCAAACTTTATGTAATTTGAACTTAAAAAAAATCATTTAAAATTTTTGAAAATAACATCTAAAACATTCTTTTGTAAGATGTATCATTCTTGTCATATTTGAAAGCTTTGCCTTTTATATGTGTTTTGTTTCTTTTGCATTACAATAAACACAGTAGCAAATTGCTTCAGGAGTTGAGACAGGAGGGAGCTTGCTGTCTTGGCCTTCTTTGTGCTTCTCTGAGCTATGAGGCTGAGAAGATTTTCAAATGGATTTTTAGCAAATTTAGCTCATCTGCAAAAGATGAAGTTAAACTCCTCTACTTATGTGCCACCTACAAAGCACTAGAGACTGTAGGAGAAAAGAAAGCCTTTTCATCTGTAATGCAGGTAAGATCTGGGGGAAATTGATGTTAATACTTGGGAAGATTGTCCTTAATGTGTCCTTGGAGGAAGTTTGAAAGAAAACTTAAGGATGGGGTGACTTAGGGATTATCTACTGGTAGTAAATATGATATACATAAAAGTCCTCTTTTAGAGTATGAGTAAAAGATACATGATAAAGCTAGGTATAAGTTAGGTTAAAAAATTTGTCTTCAGTTTCCAGAAGCTTGCCTTGGAAATTATTTAATATTAAAATAATTTATAGATTTGAAAATAGGAGGTCTTCTAGAAGAGATGGACAGGAGCTTTCATGTATTTTGAGGGAGACAAAGCTAAATATCACAGCTGGGCTTCTTAAGTTTTCAGGCTTGGCAGTATGCCAAAAATTCTAATTTAAGTGACATAAAAACAATTTACATATAAGTGAGTACCAGTTTTCTTTCATCTTACTTCACTGTTGTGTATCTGAATGTATTGAAAAGTTCATTTTCAATTTAGCAAGATTTTAACTGAATTTTTGTTGAGCTAATGTGGGATGTTGTTAGCATTTTATAAAAGCTGTGGGGAATGACTGCTATTTAATTTTATTATGTTTGTATACATAATGAATGCATCATTGTGAGGAATAGTAGATGTGTATAATACAATTTAATTCTTTTTATGACTCCTTCCCCTCTTTTCTCTCTCCGTCTTGGTCCCTTTCCATTTACAAAAGATCTGTCTCCTTGTGACTCCCATTTTGGAAAGTTCATTTTCCCAATAATAGTGGTTCTTAGAAAAATTTCAGGCCATTACAGAAAGGAAGCAGCACAACATCAAGTTGAATTTTGTTTTTGTTCTTTGTTTTGAACAGTGTCACACTGTATGGTTCTGGCTAGTCGTTAACTTGAGGCATTCCTCCTGCCTCAGCTTCTTAAGTACTGTAGGTATAGGCATATACCTTCATGCTTTCTATGTAGGAATAGTTTGGCATATAGTTTTTATATTATGAATATTTCCTTTTTTGTGGTATTTAGGATTGAATCCAGGGCATTCCACCAGTAAACAACATCTCTAGCCCCTTTTTATTTTTTTATTTTTGAGACAGGATCTTGCCAAATTACAGAGGTGCAGTCTTCCTGCCTCAACTCTGTATGTGTTGGGATTACAGCTGTGCACCAACATCTCCTGGCATGAACAGTTCTTACTGTGAAAAATTTCTTTTCTTTCTTTTTTTTTTTTTTTTTTGTGAGGAACCAGGGATTGAACTCAGGCCCTTGCACTTGTCAGGGAAGCGCTTATTCCACTGAGCCATCTCCCCAACCCGTGAAAAATTTCAAGTCCACAGGAGAATGTATGGGACAGTACAGTAATACTCATTTCTGCCTCACCTAGATTAATCATTTATTAACTGTTGGACAGGGAGTAGGGGGTACTGGACATTAAGCCCAGGACCTTGTAAGTGTGCTGCCACTGAGCTGTCCTAACCCCAGTCAATGAACATTCTCCTCCAGTGTTTTCCTTCCACAGTATGCTTTGTTGTTGAGCCATTTGAAGATAAATTATATACAGCATGACAGTTCACCCCACAATACTGTATCCTTAGAATAAGTCTAGTCTTATATAACAAATACTATAATCATACCTGAGAAAATGAATTTATATATATGTTTTTTCATATTAAAATTTCTGAAAATGTCTATAACATGACTTTTAAATCTCAAGTTTGAGGTCATCAAAATTAAACATTGTCTTTGGTGGTATAACTAAATTTAGAATAGCTTCTCACTTTTTTTGTAGCTCTTATTTTGTGGTATGCTGTATTTTTGTGTTTTTATTCTTTCTTATTGACTAGAGTCAGTTTCACCATTTTGGGCACAAGTACTTATTAGGTCTGTTATTAATATAGTCTTACACCAGTAGGTGCATAATACCATATTGTCCCACTCTGGCAGGCAGTATTTGGTCACCAGGTTGAGGTAATTATCACTGCAGCTTCCCATTTTTGGAAACTTAAGTTTTCTTTCTTTGGAATTGGTAATGTGGATATACCTCTGAACCTTCTAGATATTGGTTTGTTTTATGATACTGGGATTGAACCCAGAGCCTTTGCACTGAGCTACATCAGTTCATTTTTTATTTTTATTTTTATCTATTTATTTATTTTCATTTTTTATTTTTTGAGGCAGTGTCTTGCCAAGTTGCCCAGGCTGGGCTCAAATTTATCATACTGCTGTCTTAGCTTCTCTCAGTGCAAGAATTAACAGGGAATATTGACCATTACTGAATGTTGGTGTTCTATTCTGGCATTTCTTACATTTATAGCATTCTTATTTTAAAAATCCTTTCTTTTGGGGAGGGTAATGGTGTTTAATAACTGCAAAGTATTCCTCAGTGGTATGCTCTGTATCAAAGAACGCAGAGTCTGCCCCCTCCAAGTACATGAAGAAAAGAAAACTTGTTCAAATATTTTAATGCTAAGTTTATTGAGGTGTCATAATGACACTAATACAAGTTACTTTTGGCCTGTACAGTTACAAAAGGTTCTCAAAGTGATGGCCATTAGCTTCCAGATATTTACTAGTATGGTGAAATGTTGAAGTATGTGTGTGTTTTTTTTTTTAGACACTGTATGTATAGTGGTAACACAATCTGCATGTCATTTATATATGATGCTCTCTAGTCCTAAGTCATTGGCATTTGAAGCATATTACATAAACTTTGTTCTAAAACATTAGGCAGGCACTTGATCTACATTTTAAGTAGGAAATAATTGTGGTAGTTCAAAGAAAATAGTCTCCTGGGCATAGAAGTATTTGAAATTTAGTCACAGCTAGGGTATCAAACAGAGCACTTAACGTAAAAGTATGTTACGTAGACTAATCAATATTAAAGGAATAATGTTGATGGATGTTACAGAGTAGTATTTGTTTTCAACTTAACAGCTAAATGGCATCAAAGGAGCTGGGGAGATGGCTCAGTGAAATAAGCGCTTCCCTGGCAAGCGCAAGGGCCTGAGTTCAATCCCTGGTTCTGCAAAAAAAAAAAAAAAAAAGGCATCAAATATTATTTTCCCTAAAACATTATTTACTTTGGTATTATATGTCAGTTGTAGGTGTAGTTTCTAGCAAACAACATGACTTACTTCTTTTCTTCCTATATTGTTAAAAATTCATGATTTGCAACTCTTGTTTTTTAGCTTGTAATGACCAGCCTACAGTCTATTCTTGAGAATGTGGATACACCAGAATTACTTTGCAAATGTGTTAAGTGCATTCTTTTAGTGGCTCGATGTTACCCTCATATTTTCAGCACTAATTTTAGGGTGAGTTCTCCATGCTGCTTCTCCATTGATAGGGTAAGGGGAGGAAAGGGAGGGCGACAGGGAGGAGGAGGGAGAGAGGGAGGGATGTGGGGAATCGGAAAGCAATGCTCTGCATCTCTGAATGTCATAGCAGTGATTGTGGTTCCACTGTTGAATGGTGCAACAATATTGCTTTTATGAGAATAAAATTACATCATTTTTCTTTCTGACATTGCAGTATCTTAAGTTACCTAAGATAAAATACTTCATCAACATATTAACTCAGTACCCTTATTCTCTGGCATCCTTCCTCCCCCTCTTTCAGCTACTGTGGTGTTAAGCTGACTGAACAAAAATGATTTTTCTAGGGCCTTTACTGTAAATAGTCAAGTGAAATAGCAATCCTTCTTTAATAATGTTAAATTTGTAAGTTTCAGGTGACATGTGAAACTTTTAAGATTTTTCTCAAAGTTTTGAAAAGCTATTAGCCAGGATCATGATGTAATAAGACATAACATTTTTCCTGTAAAAAAATTTAAGTGCATGTATAGAGTTAAGAAGCTGTTATACATTTATGATTTAATGAAATAATTCTACAGGAAAAAAAAAAAAAGACCTTAAAATGATTGGCCTTTTTGTCTCATTAAGGATACGGTTGATATATTAGTGGGATGGCACATAGATCATACTCAGAAACCTTCGCTCACACAGCAGGTGTCTGGTAAGTTTTTTTTAGCATATACCAGTCATTTAAAGAATTTGGTAGATCACCAAAGACCAACTGTGAATAATAATCCAAGAAAACTAATTGCTTTAGGAAAATATATTGGTTATTACAAATGAACATCTCAGCGCCGGGCAGATAGCTCAGCAAATTAAAGCGCCAGCTTAGGCAGATGCAGGGGCCAGGGTTTCATCCCCAGCCTCCTGTGCCAGCCTTGCCCCCGGGGCTTGCTGAGGATTGCGACTGGGTGTGGTGTTGTTGGGTCTGTAATCCCAGCACTTGGGAGGCTGAAAAACAGAAAGGATCACTACAAGTCTAATCTGTGTGGTGAGACCCTGTAGGTCCTGTACTAAATACATTAAAATAAATAAATAAATAAATAAATCACTTGTTAGCTAAGTTGATTTTTTTCAGAGGGAAATATGTAGGTAAGTAGGGTAAGTACAGATTTTAATGTTGGATTTGTCAAAAATTTAGAATACTAAAGTCATTTGTAGCCAATGGTGGGAGAAGATAAAATGGTGGTGATACTCAGAAGATACTGTGATTTTCTTTTTTGGGTTCTTTGATTATTTAAAGAAGAAAATATTTTGTGGAATTACTATAAATGATCAGTATTTTTTGGCTTTGTTTATTTCAGATTTAGGTGAATGACTGCCCAACTCAGAGGCACTGATCTGTTGCATTTTTTTTGTGATATTAGGAATTGAACTTGAGGGCCACGAGCATGCTTGGCAAGGGCTCTGCTGCTCAGCTATATTCCCTCTTTTTTTTTCAGAGGAGGTCTCGATAAGTTGTCCAAGCTAGCCTTGAACTTGTAATCCTCCTCCCTCAGCCTCCTAAGGAAGTGGAATTACAGGCACATGCCACCGAAGTCCATCTTTTATGGTTTTTTTTGGGGGGGAGGTACTGGGAATCAAACTCAGGACCTTGTGCTTGCTAGGCAGACACTTATGCCACTGAGCTATCTCCCTGGACCTCTTGTAGCCTATTTGCTGTAGTAATCTTCTGAAAATGGGATTTGCCAGTGAAAATGATGCCGTTTCATTTCTGTTGTGAAGTTGAATTCGTACTTTTGTTGGCTAAATGTAGGTTAATAAGCCTGGCTGAGGGTAGATGGTAGCATTTGTGTTAAGTCATATGACAGTATGGATATTAAATCTGATTGAAAACTAAGGGCAAGGGCTGGCCAGTTAGCTCAGCAGACTAAAGCACCTGCTTTGGCAGAGCACAGCAGCTGGGGTTCCATCCCCATGCGGCTCCACCCCTGGGGTGCATTTGAGACGGCGATTAAGACTGGGAGTGGTGGCGCACGCCTGTAATCCCAGTGCTTGGGAAGCTGAAAACAGGAGAATGAGTCCAGTCTACGTAGTGAGACCCTGAGGACCCTGTACTAAATACATTAAATAAATATAGTAAGGGTGTATGACTTAAATTTTAATTTCCAGAGTGTTAATTTTTACAGTATTGAGGTTTATAATCATGATTGGTTATTTATGATCACCATGTTTAATATTAGTAATTTCATGATCTAGGGCATGTTTTAGATTTAAAAGCCTTGAAATCAAATTTTGGAAATTTTAAAATTTTGGATATACTGTCCTCTTTCAAAATTTCTTGTGATTCCAAGGGTGGTTGCAGAGCTTGGAGCCATTTTGGGTGGCTGACCTTGCATTTTCTACCACTCTTCTTGGTCAGTTTCTTGAAGACATGGAGGCATATGCTGAGGTGAGTGTGTAGAAAGTCATACTATTTTTTAAGATACCAGTTAAGGAAAAAACAATAGCAACAGAAAAATCAAAATCTGAAACGCTGTTAGACTTAGAGACATTTTCCCTTTGGTAGTCACATGTCCTGTCCATAGATGTATTGGTTCTAAGATGTCATCTTTTGAGGGGTAATCTTTTTCTGTTTTATTTTTTTCAGTATTAGGGATTGAATCCAGAGGTGTTCTGTCACTGTGGCACACTCATGGCCCTTTTAATTTTTATTTTGAGACAGTCTCATGTTGTCTAGGCTTCTGTCAAATTGGGAATGAGATTGGGATCCTTCTGCCTACACCTTCCAGTATGTGGGATTATAGGTGTGTGCCACTATCCCTGGCTGTTTATTTCAATTATATCTTTTTTCCCCCTTCGGTGGAACTGGGGATTGAACTCAGGCCCTTGGGCTTGCCAAGAAAGCGCTTATTCTACTGAGCCATCTCCCCAGCCCCTTCAATTATATCTTACTTCTGCAACTAAATTATAAATCTGTAGGTTGTTTCATAATTTTTAAGCGTTTTCCTTTTTGATTTTTCACAGGCACATTAGTGTAGAATGTCTGTTTTCTTAATTTGTGGTTCTAAGAAAACCTAGAATGAGCTTTTGGCAAAAAAACAATTTAGGAATGGTAAAAATTTCAGGCTTCAGTTAGACCTACATGTAATGAGTATATATTAGGATTCATTTTTCACTGATACATATTTGTATTAGAGCAGGATGCTATTTCCCCAAGAAATTGGCTTTTGTTTGGTCTTCTAAAAAATAATCACATAAAACCCATTGGTCTAACTCCTCTTTAATTTGTAAAAAGTCTAGTTCTAAAATTAGTTGAATTAAGGTTTGGGAGATTTTATAAAAGTGAACAGTGTTACTACTTATGTAAAAATGCTGTGAATTAATGTGTAGGACCTCAGCCATGTAGCCTCTGGGGAATCTGTGGATGAAGATGTTCCTCCTCCTTCTGTATCATTACCAAAGCTGGCAGCACTTCTCCGGGTATTCAGTACTGTGGTGAGGAGTATTGGGGAGCGCTTCAGCCCAATCCGGGGTCCTCCAATTACTGAGGCATATGTAACAGATGTAAGTATCTTCAGTTTAAAGTGTCACTCAAAACAGAAATGTTTTCATGTTGTACCTAGTGTCCTCTTAGTAGTTCTGCTTTCATTAGGCATTTATGTATGCTATGTGTCTGGTTACTTTCTTAGCCAGAAAATTAGGGAAACCTACTGTATTCTGCCTTCCTCCTACTCTGATCTCTTCTTGCCAGACTCATGATAAAAGGGCCACTCTAAAGTTTTAAATATCGGTGCACATTTCTCTTAGGAGTTCCTTCAGAGACCCGTTCTTTTTACCATGCATAGTTTTAAAATGTAATTGTTTGTGTTTTATGTTTTTTAATAGAAATACATGAATTAAAAATATATACTGGGGCCGTAGAGATGGCTCAGTGGAGTAAGTGCTTCCCTGGCAAGTGCAAGGGCCTGAGTTCAATC